ATCCCGATGACTTCGCGATAACAAATCAATATACCGATAAGATAACTCGTCATTTGTTGCTGAGAAAAGGTGTATATCCTTACGAATATATGGATGATTGGTCTAGATTCGAAGAAACTGAATTACCACCCCTCGAATCATTCCATAGTAACTTAACAGAATCTAGAATAACAGATGCCGATTATGAACATGCTCTGACGGTCTGGGATAAATTAGGTTGTAAGAATTTAGGCGATTATCACGATCTGTACTTAAAAACAGATGTACTGTTACTCGCCGATATATTCGAGATATTTAGAAAGACATGTTTCAAACAATATGGCTTGGACCCGGCATGGTACTATTCCAGTCCCGGACTATCGTGGGATGCATTGTTGAAGAAGACCGGTGTAGAACTAAAACTACTCACAGATTACGATATGCACTTGTTTATTGAGAAAGGATTAAGAGGTGGTATATCGATGGCAGCTAAAAGGTATTCTAAGGCTAATAATAAATTAGTGGAAGGATACGATCCCAGTAAACCCGACACCCACATATTATATCTCGACGCTAACAATTTGTACGGATGGGCTATGAGTCAACCTTTACCCACGGGTGGTTTTGAATGGGTCGATGATATCAATGTTGTTAATATCCATAATAATGATGCGAATAAAGGGTACATACTAGAAGTTGACTTGGAATATCCAAGTTCGTTACATAAAGATCACAACAGTTATCCGCTAGCTCCCGAAAGATTAATGGTTAATAAAGATTGGATGTCGGAATATCAACGCTCCTTGATGGGTAATAGTAGGTTAGCTAACGTAGAAAAACTCGTACCAAATTTGATGGATAAAACAAAATATATAGTTCACTACAGAAATCTCCAGTTGTATCTATCGTTAGGTATGAAACTTAAGAAAATACACAGAGTTCTAAAGTTCGATCAAAGCCCTTGGATGGAGCCCTATATAAGGTTGAACACAGATTTAAGAAAGATAGCTACCAGCGATTTCGAAAAGAATCTATATAAGCTCATGAATAACTCGGTATTTGGTAAAACTATGGAGAATCTAAGGAAGCGTGTTGATGTTAAATTAGTCAGATCTAATGAGGAAGAAAGACTCAGGAAACTTATAGCCAGTCCGGCTTTTAACAGAAGCAAGATATTCGATAACGACTTAGCCGCGTTGCATATGCAGAAGAGTAATATAAAATTCAACAGACCGGTGTACGTCGGTATGAGTATTCTCGACTTGTCAAAACACTTAATGTATGACTTTTATTACAACGAACTTAAGAAGCAATACGGCGATAGATGCGAGGTGTTATATACCGACACAGATTCTTTGTTGATGGAAATACAAACCGAGGATGTGTATAAAGATATGGCAGAAAAAATAGATATGTACGACACGAGCGATTACCCAAAAGATAATGCACTGCACAGCGTAGTAAATAAAAAGGTATTAGGTAAGATGAAGGATGAATGTGCTGGGACCCCTATAGCGGAGTATGTAGGATTAAGACCTAAGATGTATTCTATAAAGAAGTCCGATAATGGAGAGATAAGAAAAGCTAAGGGCGTTAAGAAGTACGTTGTAAAAAAGCATATCAAACACGAACAGTATAAAGAATCATTATTCAACGGTAGAACATTCAAACACGAGATGAACTCTTTAAGAAGTTACGATCATAGGATATATGGATTAAGAATGAACAAGACATCATTATCCCCCTTAGATACAAAGAGATGGATTGATAATGATGGTGTAAATACCTATGCTTATGGTTATGGTGGTAATACCGTACCGTCGGGAACTATGAACAACTCTTCTCGTACAAATGCCCTACCCGGTCCATCTTGAAGATAATAAAGAATAGGCTCTCCTTCTTTCGTAACCAATCGACTAATGTTATACGTCTTAAGGGACCATATGGGATCGGTTGCGCGACGTAGGCCTCCTTCGAGTTCACCGGCCTGGTATAAATATCTTACCCTTACTCTATCCGGAAGTTTTCGTTCTTTGCCTCTCCTCGGTGCTGAAGATTCGGAAGTCACGGATTTCATTTTAATAGCATCGGATGGTTTCTTCCCTATTAATCTCGTTACTTCATTATTCAGCGCTGATACAACGGCTGATAATCGTGTCACCCATTCGGTTGATCTCAATCGCTCGGATTTCATTTCGATCCCATACTGATAGCCAAACAAACGTTCCGCTAATGTCCTGTTAAATCTTTCGACGATAGCTTGACTGCGGTGGGCCTCTCTTTCACCACGGACGATTTCGACATCGTGCTTTGTTAACAGTTTAGTTACCGATCCCATAAACTCGCGACCGGGATCTACTTGAAATAGCTTAGGCCATTTTAGAGGTCCACGTTTGTATATGCGACTCAGTGCATTAGCTACCTCTGTTGATTCTTTCGATGTTAATGGCTCAGCCTCTTTGTATCGACTAGCCACATCAACTACCGTTAAAGCGTACTTATACGTTTTGCGTTTTACCTTATCGTGGGGAAGAAACAAGAGGTCAGCCTGATGAACTTCATTCGTTGTAAAAATATCAAACTTCTTCCTCGGTATATAACGCGGTGCTGGTAAATATATTTGCCACAACGCTTGTTTCTTTAACCAATCCTTGGCCACATCTTTAGATACCTTAGCCATGGTGGCTAATTTTTTTATTGCTCCTACACCTTTCCAATATCCTCGTGGGCTATAGTAAATTTTATCCATTATTAATTAATATTGATATTTCTTTTAAAACGACTTTCGTTGAATCACATCACTAATAGAAGCAATGATTGGTCCCCAGGTATTGGTGAGCTAGAGCCAATTTAACTTAATCTCATGACTATCATTAAATCGCATCATCATTTTGGCATAAAAAATTCCTCCTGTAGTAGCAGTATAGGTATATGAATCCTGCTCCAGTGGAGTTGCGGCAGAACCCCCATTACCTATACTACTACTTGGCCTCGAATCTCCGCCCTGTACTCCGTCCTGTACCTGCGCCCTGTACCACCTACCTGTACCACCTCCCTGTACCTGCGCCCTGTAACACCTTCCTGTACCTGCGCCCTGTAACACCTTCCTGTACCTCTTCCCCGTAACTTCGCCCTGCACCCCATCCTGTACAACGGTCCTGTATCTCCGCCCTTTTACTTAACCATATGTATCCGCCCTGTACCGTTAACTTTACATCCTCCCTGTACCTCCGCCTTGTATCTCCCCCTTGTACTTCGGCAGTGTACCTCCCCTTGTACCTCCGCCCTGTACCTCCCCCTTGTTACCTACGCCCTGTACCCCCGCCCTGTACCGCCACCTTGTGCATCCGCCCTGTACCTCCGCCCTATATCTCCGCCTTGTACCTCCTACCTATATCTCCCCCTTGTACCTCCGCCCTGTACCCCCGCCTGTGCATCCGTCCTGTACCGCTACCTTGTGTATCCGCCCTGTACCTCCGCCCTATCTCCCCCTTGTACCTCCCTTGCACTACCGCCTTGTACCTCCGCCCTATATCTCCCCCTTGTATCTCCGCCTATATCTCCCCCTTGTATCCCCGCCTTGTATCCCCGCCTGTACCTCCGCCCTGTACCCCTGCCTTGTACCTCCGCCCTGTACCGCCACCTTGTACATCCGCCCTATATCTCCCCCTTGTACCTCCGCTCTGTATTCCCGCCTTGTACCTCTGCCCTATACCTCCGCCTTGTATCCCCGCCTGTACCTCCGCCTTGTATCCCCGCCTGTACCTCCGCCCTATACCCCTGCCTTGTACCTCCGCCCTGTAGCGCCACCTAGTACATCCGCCCTATATCTCCCCCTTGATCCTCCGCTCTGTATTCCCGCCTTGTACCTCCGCCCTGTACCTCCGCCTTGTATCCCCACCTGTACCTTCGCCCTGTATCCTCGCCTGTACATCCGCCCTGTACCCCTGCCTTGTACCTCCGCCCTGTACCGCCACCTTGTATCCCCACCTGTACCTTCGCCCTGTATCCCCGCCTGTACATCCGCCCTGTACCACCTCCCTGTATCTACACCTTGCCCTGTGCCTTCACCCTGCACATTCGCCTTAGACCTGCAACCTGAATCTCCGTCATATACCAGTATCATGTACCTCCGCCTTGTACGTCTTCCTTGTTCCTCCGCCCTGTACCTCCGCCTTATACATCCGCTTTGTACCACGGGAAAATCGGAACATGAATATATTACAGTTTACCCGAACTTTACATGCATAGAATTAGATATCCCCTGAATACTATCATGGGCCAGTAAACCTCTGAAAATTTGAGCACTTCATTGTGGAAAAATATGTTTAGAATGTAAACACATACATGTCATGCTCAGATCTAAACATGTTTAGAAAGTGTTTAAATCCTAAACGGAATACAGATTTAGTGTGTTCCATCTACACACGTTTTAGGTCTAAACACATGAAACGGGTTATCTTAACACAGCCTAAACGGCACCTTAGCACAACATCCCAGTCCACAGGATATGACCGTATGATACCCTCACGGTTAAACGTGCTGTTAGCCGGACTGTCACGGAACCTGTTTACGCATTTTTACGCTCGACGGTTGGTTTGACGCTAGAAATGTTTGAAGTAAGAGATGTAACTTATAGTAAATACGCCGACCCAAAGCTAGTGAGCAGCGGCAAGCTGCATATTCTTTTATGTGCAAAGGCATACTTATGGGTGAAACTCCTCCATTTAGCACTGCTTTTGTGATATTCTGGTACTTAAAGTGTGTGGCAGTCATGTTACTCCCATGAGTGCTAAATCCGGTTCCTGTGGATGGCTGGTGATGTAAGTAGGTCATGCTTGTTACTCCAACTTCCGGTTCCTGTGGATGGCGGGTGATGTAAGTAGGTCATGCTTGTTACTCCAACTTCCGGCTCCTGTGGATGGCGGGTGATGTAAGTAAGTCATGCTTGTTACTCCAGCTTCCGGCTCCTGTGGATGGCGGGTGATGTAAGTAAGTCATGCTTGTTACCCTACTTCCAGCTTCATGTCGGAGTCGTGGTGATGTGTGCGTGTGCTGGTCGGGGTAACCATAGTGACGTGAATGTGGAAGAGAAAGTTCCCATGCAGAGCGGGGTGCCATTGAAGAAGAACCCGGATATGGAATCACAGCATAGACGGAAAAACACACTTCTCAAGTTAGAACATATAACTAACGGCTGTGGTTGAATTAGATATGTTTTCATCCATGTAACCGGAGAAAGGTTACAATGTTACTAAATCTTATTTTCAAAATGAGTCTAAGAATGATATACGAACGGCATGATTCACCTGTGAGGGGATCATTTTACATTGTCAATCACTTGCCTTAAACAATATTGCAAAATTGATGGCTTAAACGTTATATGGGTACGAATCAACACAATCTAATCGACCCATCTAGATTATACTCTCACACTCGTCCGCTATTTGCTGGAAGAGGAAGCCGAAAACATCCTGAGCCGTTAAATACAAGTAGCTGTATGAGGAGGGGCTGAAAAGTACCCGCGCATAAAAAGGACACCCCTAACACGCTAGTATTAAGTACGTAGGCGTACGTACACACACACACACACACACACACACACGCACGCACGCACGCACGCACGCACACACACACACACACGCACGCACGCACGCACGCACGCACGCACACACACACACACACACACACACACACACGCACGCACACACGCACGCACACACAAAAGATACAAAATAAAAAATAAAAGAGAACAAAAACACACACACGCAGAAGATTTTGATATGTTGGACGCCTCCTTTTTAAGATTGCTGGATCCGCCCTTGAAGTACAATACGTTACATGCTTACAAGCAGCATATCTCTGCAGTGACAAGGTCTTCTCTGTTGATGTAAATGGACAAATTGGGTGCCGGCGCGCCATCAAGTATGTCCAACTGAAAGGGCTAACCCTTACAACCACCATGCGCAAATAGCATCAACATTGGGGAAAGGTGCTCCTTCCTTTGCCACTGCTGCGAGGTGTGTAGTGGAGTTCAAAGTAGGCAGAGCAGGCCAGGAAGATGATCCAAGATCAGGAAGACCTTTAACGGCTATGATGTGGTAGACAACTCACCACATTCCACATAGCCAATTCAGTAGGCATCTCTCATGATATGGTTGAGAACATTATGCTTATCTGTTGAGACAACTGCGTGACAATATTATGGATAAACGTCGTGGAAAACTCAGTCAAGGTGTGTTGTTCCACCTGACAAATTTGTTGTCGCCTTGGCTGTGGTTTTGAAGTTTTGGAGTGATGGAAGATGCCTGTGGATCTCGGAAGGGATTAAAATAAGGAAGGGATTGAAAAATAATTAACAACTAACTCCGTCATCGCAGTGCAGCCTAGTTAAGTTGAGAACTTTTCAGCCACTCCTCGTAGATATGTGGTACTTGTTCTTTGTACTAAAATCTTGCTTCAGTGTGCTGCTTAGGGTTTGCTTGATAATTGCCTATTCTACCTATATTAAAACACTCGGATGAAATAGATTTCATCGTCAAGTCGCTACATAATATAACACGTCGATGGTATGAACCTGTTTTAGAACAGAACCCTTTATATGTTTACTTTAATCTTCAAGAAAACGTCTGACTTGATCAAATCGTAAGCCTTTCCCGGCAAAGACCATATTTATACTTGGGCAAGTGATATTTTCACCTTTCCAGTCAGCGAATATTGACATATGCTCAAAAACTGTTTTCTCCTTTCAGACAAGGTTTTAGGAGCGTGATGATAGTACTGGACTTCTGTGCGGAGATCACGCTGGTCCTGATGGTGACGACACACGTTAACGGCAACACACTGGAGTACCTGTTCGCCGTCTGTACGGTGATAAAGGTAAGTGATGTGTTCGGACACTCTACCAGGTTAAAAACAATTGCACCTCCGCCATGGGGTGGGCAGGGAGTTTTAAAGCCTTGGCTCATCTCGACGAAGACCCGAAGTGTATCCGATCGAATTGAATCCATTGAATTTGCCTATATTCCAAGCAATTGTTTTAAAATATGGTAGCGAGAAACAAGAAGACGAGGACATATACGGATAACAACATATGTGTTCTATTGAGTGATATTGAGTAACTATGAAGTTGTTTTGCTTTCTCTTATTAATCAAATATTTCGTGTGAAGAAAACTAACTAAGCATTATGCCGAGCTTAGCATGCAGTGAACTACAATGGCACGTTGTTTTCGTGGTATGACATATAGACTTGAAAAAGTACCCATTATAACTGCATACATTCACTCAGTTTTCCATTCATTTTTCAGACCATGATTTTAGTCTATGTTGATGCGTATGTTGTGGTAAGTATGAACTCATTAAAAATCGCAATGTCAAGAAAACACTTTATTTCGCTGAGCACATAAATATTCTATATAATTCTATAGACATGTTTATACGCAGTTGTGATAATGGCAAAACAGTTGAAATCCCCAAATAACTTTTGTCTGTGTCTGTTTCCAGGACATTGACTACTCAACCAATCAAGGCACAGGTTTGCATTATTAGCATGTCAAGTCATCACAAAATGATCAAATCATCGAACCGTACGAAATGTAAATTATGTCGTATTTTTTAAACCTCATTGTCACTATATATTAATACCTCACTATGCTCTAACTCATACTTCCTTCTGTAGTGCTGCTGTTAGTGTCCGCGCTCCATGTAGCAGCAGGCGAGAGGGTGGGCGAGAATGTACCGTGCTATATTAGCCACCTCCTGTAGTGTTGCTGTTAGTGTCTGCGCTCCATGTTGCAGCAGGCGAGAGGGTGGGCGAGAATGTACCGTGCTATGGTAGCCACCTCCTGTAGTGTTGCTGTTAGTGTCTGCGCTCCATGTAGCAGCAGGCGAGAGGGTGGGCGAGAATGAACCGTGCTATGGTAGCCACCTCCTGTAGTGTTGCTGTTAGTGTCTGCGCTCCATGTTGCAGCAGGAGACATAGCGGGCGAGAATGTATACGAGGAGATCCTGAACGTAAACCAACATCCTTCCCGCTCCTGACTTCAACACTGAGAATGTATTGCAATCCGTGACTATGGAAGGCAGCTGCAGATAACAACATATAACATCAACCATACAACACCACAGACATGTGAAGCAGTGTATGCCAACAGCTGACGGTACATGGACCTAATGTGTACTTTTAGTACAATTATATGACAGCGTGTGTACGTGCAGTGCAGTATATGAACATAATGTGTACGTAAAGTGCAGTATATAGACATACTGTGTACGTGTAGTTTAGTATATGGACATAATGTGTACGTGTAGTGCAGTATATGGACATAATGTGTACGTGTAGTACAGTATATGACACATTGTTTTCGTGTAGTGCCGTATATGGACATAATGTGTACGTGTAGTGCACTATATGGACATAATGTGTACGTGTAGTGCAATAAATGGACATAATGTGTACGTGTAGTGCCGTATATGGACAAAATGTGTACGTGTAGTGCACTATATGGACATAATGTGTACGTGTAGTACAGTATATGGACATAATGTGTATGTGTAGTGCAGTATACGGAGATAATGTGTACGTGCAGTGCAGTATATGACACATTGTGTACGTGTAGTGCACTATATGGACATAATGTATACGTGTAGCACAGTTATATGCCACATTGTTTACATGTAGTACAGTATATGGAGATAATATGTACGTTTAGTGCACTATATGGACATAATGTGTACGTATTGTGCAGTATATGGACATAATGTGTACGTGTTGTACACTATATGGACATAATGTGTACGTGTAGGACTGTATATGACACATTGTTTACGTGTAGTGCAGTATATGGTCATAATGTGTACGAGTAGGACAGTATGTGACACATTGTGTACGTGTAGGACAGTAAATGACACATTGTGTACGTGTAGGACAGTATGTGACACATTGTTCCTTGTGAACAGTATATGACACATTGTATACGTGTAGGACAGTATATGACACATTGTATACGTGTAGGACAGTATATGACACATTGTGTACGTGTAGTGCAGTATATGGACACACTATGTACGTGTAGGACAGTATATGGACACACTATGTACGTGTAGTACAGTATATGGACACACTATGTACATGCAGTACAGTATATGGACACACTATGTAAGTGTAGTACAGTATATGGACACACTATGTACGTGTAGAACAGTGTATGGCACACTGTGCACGTGTAGTACAGTATATGGACACACTATGTATGTGTAGTACAGTATATGACACATTGTGTACGTGTTGTGCAGTATATGGACACACTATGTATGTGTAGAACAGTATATGACACACTATGTACGTGTAGTACAGTATATGGACACACTATGTACGTGTAGGACAGTGTATGGCACATTGTGTACTTGTAGTGCAGTATATGGACATAATGTGTACGTGTAGTACAGTATATGGCACATTGTGTACTTGTAGGACAGTATATTGACACAATATGTACGTGTAGTACAGTATATGGCACATTGTGTACTTGTAGGACAGTGTATGGCACATTGTGTACTTGTAGGACAGTATATGGCATATTGTGTACTTGAAGGACAGTATATGGCACATTGTGTACTTGTAGGACAGTATATGGCACATTGTGTACTTGTAGGACAGTATATTGACACACTATGTACGTGTAGTACAGTATATGGCACATTGTGTTCTTGTAGGACAGTATATGGCACATTGTGTACTTGTAGGACAGTATATGGACACACTATGTACGTGTAGTACAGTATATGGCACATTGTGTACTTGTAGGACAGTATATGGCACATTGTGTACTTGTAGGACAGTGTATGGCACATTGTGTACGTGTAGTACAGTATATGGCACATTGTGTACTTGTAGGACAGTATATGGACACAATATGTACGTGTAGTACAGTGTATGGCACATTGTGTACTTGTAGGACAGTATATGGCACATTGTGTACTTGTAGGACAGTATATGGCACATTGTGTACTTGTAGGACAGTATATGGACACACTATGTACGTGTAGTACAGTATATGGCACATTGTGTACTTGTAGGACAGTATATGGCACATTGTGTACTTGTAGGACAGTATATGGCACATTGTGTACTTGTAGGACAGTATATTGACACACTATGTACGTGTAGTACAGTATATGGCACATTGTGTTCTTGTAGGACAGTATATGGCACATTGTGTACGTGTTGTGCAGTATATGGACACACTATGTATGTGTAGAACAGTATATGACACACTATGTACGTGTAGTACAGTATATGGACACACTATGTACGTGTAGGACAGTATATGGACACACTATGTACGTGTAGTACAGTATATGGCACATTGTGTACTTGTAGGACAGTATATGGCACATTGTGTACTTGTAGGACAGTATATGGCACATTGTGTACGTGTAGTACAGTATATGGCACATTGTGTACTTGTAGGACAGTATATGGACACAATATGTACGTGTAGTACAGTGTATGGCACATTGTGTACTTGTAGGACAGTATATGGCACATTGTGTACTTGTAGGACAGTATATGGCACATTGTGTACTTGTAGGACAGTATATGGACACACTATGTACGTGTAGTACAGTATATGGCACATTGTGTACTTGTAGGACAGTATATGGCACATTGTGTACTTGTAGGACAGTATATGGCACATTGTGTACTTGTAGGACAGTATATTGACACACTATGTACGTGTAGTACAGTATATGGCACATTGTGTTCTTGTAGGACAGTATATGGCACATTGTGTACTTGTAGGACAGTATATGGACACACTATGTACGTGTAGTACAGTATATGGCACATTGTGTACTTGTAGGACAGTATATGGCACATTGTGTACTTGTAGGACAGTGTATGGCACATTGTGTACGTGTAGTACAGTATATGGCACATTGTGTACTTGTAGGACAGTATATTGACACAATATGTACGTGTAGTACAGTATGTGGCACATTGTGTACTTGTAGGACAGTGTATGGCACATTGTGTACTTGTAGGACAGTATATGGCACATTGTGTACTTGTAGGACAGTATATTGACACAAAATGTACGTGTAGTACAGTATATGGCACATTGTGTACTTGTAGGACAGTGTATGGCACATTGTGTACGTGTGGTGCAGTATATGGACATAATGTGTACGTGTAGTACAGTATATGGACACAATATGTACGTGTAGTACAGTATATGACACATTATGTCCTTTTAGGACAGTATATAGTTAGTAGAGTATATGGACAACATATGTACGTGTAGTTCAGTATAAGTGTGTTAGGGCGTAGTCAAGATGGTGGAACATATCATCTCGGCATCAGCCAAGTGTGCAAGTCATCCAAATAGGTCACAATTCAATGTTCTCAGTCGGAATTGTTACAATTGCAGTGATGTAGTAAGTGTATGTCCATTTGAAGTGAAGGCCGAGTCACAGGCTGTACAGGCTTGCCAGAATGGTTTCTAAGGAATCCTGGAAGGGACATTGTCGCTTTGGTATGGTGGTATGGTATTTGGGTTTTAGGGCGCCCACCACATCAAATAAAAAATACATCGAATAGACTACAAGAGAACGATTAGTATGCTATTACTATACTATTTTATGTGGTTGTAATTTATGTTTATGTTGTTGATCGAAATAACGTTCATATGTGATATGATTAATGGATTTCCAGACAGCTGCCAAGCAAAACATAGGTTATAGTTGGGAATACGGATGTATAACTGTAGTCGAAAACATGTGTTCATTTTGTAAAATAAAGTTTTATTGTTTATTTTAACATGTTGTTTATGCTCGGGTGTACTACTGTGTAACCTACCCAATGACATGCCACTTGGACAAGTGTGTGGAACCATACACTGCATCAACCTGTAATGAACCATTACTTATACGGAAAATGGCGGTCCTAGTTTTTATCGCAACTTGATAAACAATTCCAGGTACTCCTATTACGTCACCATCTCACACCCAGATATAAAAGTACAAAAGAACCCCCGCAAAGTATCAATGTCACACCCTCATACCAAGGTACAAACACTTCCACAAAGTAACCATCACACACCCAGATAACAAGGTACAAACACTCCCACAAAGTAACCATCACACACACTGATGACAGGGAACAAACACTCCCACAAAGTAACCATCAAACACAAAGATAACAAGGTGAAAATAAAAACACTCACCCAAAGTAACCATCACACACCATGGTAAAAAGGTACATACACTCAACACAAAGTAACCATCTCACACCCTGACAACAAGGTAAAAACATTCCCCCCCCCCCCCCCCCCCCCCCAAAAAAAAACCCCATCTCACACCTAGATAACAAGGTACATACACTCTAACAAAGTAACCATCTGACACCCTGATGACAAGATACATACACTCTCACAAAGTAACAATGTCACACCCTGATCACAAGGTACAAACATCCCCCCCCAAAAAAAAAACAACAACAAAAAACAAAAAAAACAAACATCTCACACCCAGATAACAAGGTACATACACTCCCACAAAGTAACCATCTCACACCCAGATAACAAGGTATCAACACTCTCACAAAGTAACCATCACATACCATGACAACAAGGTACAAACACTCCAACAGTGTAACCATCACACATCCTGATAACAAGGTGCATACGCTCCCACAACGTAACCATCACATACCATGATAACAAGGTACAAACGACCCCACACAGTAACCATCACACCCAGATAACAAGGTACAAACACTTCCAAAAAATAACTATCACACACTCTGAAAACAAGGTACAAAAATTCCCACAAAGTAACCATCACACACCAGGCCAAGAAGGTACAAACACTCACACAAAGTAACCATCTCACGCCCTGATAACAAGGTACAAAAACTCTCACAAAGCAACCATCACAGATGATGGTAATCAGGTACAAACACTAACACAAAGTGATCATGTCACAACCTGATGACAAGGTACAAGCACTCCCAGAAAGACACCATGTCAAACCTAGATAACAAGGTACATTCACTCACACAAAGTGACCATTGCACATTCTGATAACAAGGTACATACACTCCCACGAAGTAACCATCACACACCATGCCAAGAAGGTACATTCACTCACACAAAGTAACCATGTCACACCCAGATAACAAGGTTCATACACTCACACAAAGTAACCATCTCACACCCTGATAACAAGGTACATACACTCTCCCAAAGTAACAATGTCACACCCTGATAACAAGGTACAAACATTCACCCCAAAAACAACAACAAAAAAACCCATCTCACACCCTGATAACAAGGTACATACACTCCCACAAAGTAACCATCACATACCATGACAACAAGGTACAAACACTCCAACAGTGTAACCATCACACACTCTGATAACAAGGGACAAACGACCCCACAAAGTAACCATCACACACTGATAACAAGGTACATACACTCCCACAAAGTAACCATCACTCTGATAACAAGGTACATACACTCCCACAAAGTAACCATGTCACACCCCGATAACAAGGTACATACACTCCCACAAAGTGACAATGTCACACCCTGATAACAAGGTACAAACACTTACAAAAGTAACAACCACACCTTGATAACAAGGAACATACACTCCCACAAAGTATCAATTACACCCTGATAACAAGGTACATACACTCCCACAAAGTAACCATCACACACCCAGATAACAAGGTACATACACTCCAACAAAGTAACCGTCACACCCTGATAACAAGGTACATACACTCCCACAAAGTAACCATCACACACCCAGATAACAAGGTACATACACTCCCACAAAGTAACCATCACACACACTGATAACAAGGTACATACGCTCCCACAAAGTAACCATCACACACCCAGATAACAAGGTACATACACTCCAACAAAGTACCATCACACCCTGATAACAAGGTACATACACTCCCACAAAGTAACCATCACACACCCAGATAACAAGGTACATACACTCCAACAAAGTAACCGTCACAACCCGATAACAAGCTACAAACACTCACACAAAGTAACCATCACACCCTGGTAACAAGGTACATACACTCCCGTAAAGTAACCATCACGCTCTGATAACAAGGTACATACACTTCAACAAAGTACCATCACACCCTGATAACAAGGTACATACACTCCAACAAAGTAACCATCACACCCTGATAACAAGGTACATACACTCCAACAAAGTACCATCACACACTGATTGCAAGGTACATACACTCCCGCAAAGTAACCATCACACACACTGATAACAAGGTACATACACTCCCGCAAAGTACCATCACACACTGATAACAAGTTACATACACTCCAACAAAGTACCATCACAACCTGATAGCAAGGTACATACACTTCCACAATGTGACCATTGCACACTCTGATAACAATGTACAACCTGACAACAAGGTACATACACTCCCGCAAAGTAACCATCACACCCTGATAACAAGGTACATACACTCCCGCAAAGTAACCACCACACACTGATAACAAGGTACATACACTCCAACAAAGTAATCATCACACACTGATAACAAGGTACATACACTCCAACAAAGTAATCATCACACACTGATAACAAGGTACAAACACTCCAACAAAGTAATCATCACACACTGATAACAAGGTACATACACTCCAACAAAGTAATCATCACACACTGATAACAAGGTACAAACACTCCAACAAAGTAACCATCACACCCTGATAACAAGGTACATACACTCCAACAAAGTAATCATCACACACTGATAACAAGGTACAAACACTCCAACAAAGTAACCATCACACACTGATAACAAGGTACATACACTCCCGCAAAGTAACCATCACACCCTGATAACAAGGTACATACACTCCCACAAAGTAACCATCACACCCTGATAACAAGGTACATACACTCCAACAAAGTACCATCACAACCTGATAGCAAGGTACATACACTTCCACAATGTGACCATTGCACACTCTGATACCAATGTACAACCTGACAACAAGGTACATACACTCCCGCAAAGTAACCATCACACCCTGATAACAAGGTACATACACTCCAACAAAGTACCATCACACCCTGATAGCAACGTACAAACACTCCAACAAAGTAACCATCACACACTGATAACAAGGTACATACACTCCCACAAAGTACCATCACACACTGATTGCAAGGTACATACACTCCCACAATGTGACCATTGCACACTCTGATAACAAGGTACAAACACTCACACAAAGTAACCATCACACACTGATAGCAAGGTACATACACTCCCACAATGTGACCATTGCACACTCTGATAACAAGGTACAAACACTCCCACAAAGTAACCATCACACACAGATAACAAGGTACATACACTCACACAAAGTAACCATCACACACTGATAACAAGGTACATACACTCCAACAAAGTACCATCACACACTGATAACAAGGTACATACACTCCCCCAAAGTACCATCACACACTGATAGCAAGGTACATACACTCCCACAAAGTACCATCACACGCTGATAACAAGTTACATACACTCCAACAAAGTACCATCACACGCTGATAACAAGTTACATACACTCCAACAAAGTACCATCACAACCTGATAGCAAGGTACATACACTTCCACAATGTGACCATTGCACACTCTGATACCAATGTACAACCTGACAACAAGGTACATACACTCCCGCAAAGTAACCATCACACCCTGATAACAAGGTACATAGACTCCCACAAAGTACCATCACACACAGATAACAAGGTACATACACTCCCGCAAAGTAACCATCACACCCTGATAACAAGGTACATACACTCCCACAAAGTACCATCACACACTGATAGCAAGGTACATACACTCCCATAATGTGACCATTGCACACTCTGATAACAAGGTACAAACACTCCAACAAAGTAACCATCACACACAGATAACAAGGTACATACACTCCCGCAAAGTAACCATCACACCCTGATAACAAGGTACATACACTCCTAAAAAGGACCATCACACACTGATAGCAAGGTACATACACTCCCACAATGTGACCATTGCACGCTCTGATACTAGGTACAAACACTCACACAAAGTAACCATCACACACTGATAGCAAGGTACATACACTCCCACAATGTGACCATTGCACACTCTGATAACAAGGTACATACACTCCCACAAAGTACCATCACACACTGATAGCAAGGTACATACACTCCCACAATGTGACCATTGCACACTCTGATAACAAGGTACAAACACTCACACAAAGTAACCATCACACACTGATAGCAAGGTACATACACTCCCACAATGTGACCATTGCACACTCTGATAACAAGGTACAAACACTCCCACAAAGTAACCATCACACACAGATAACAAGGTACATACACTCCCACAATGTGACCATCACACCCTGATAACAAGGTACAAACACTCCCACAAAGTACCATCACACACTGATAACAAGGTACATACACTCCCGCAAAGTAACCATCACACCCTGATAACAAGGTACATACACTCCCACAAAGTACCATCACACACTGATAGCAAGGTACATACACTCCCACAATGTGACCATTGCACACTCTGATAACAAGGTACAAACACTCACACAAAGTAACCATCACACACTGATAGCAAGGTACATACACTCCCACAATGTGACCATTGCACACTCTGATAACAAGGTACAAACACTCCCACAAAGTAACCATCACACACAGATAACAAGGTACATACACTCCCAC